GAAGAGGAACAAACAGTCTCCAACAAAAAAAATATGTTTATGATGTTACGACTTTCATTCGAACCAACAAACGGTCCAACGAAAAGAAAGCCAAGTATCATCGGCCAACGATTTGGAAACAATACAACAAACATTGGCACATATTGGACACACCGAAGATACGGAAACTGCACTCCCGTGGTCAATGATTCGGAATTCCGAAGCCAGCGCAATTACCTTTAAACGAAAGCCGAGTACTCAAATGATTTTTTTCGTGCTAAAGCGGTGGGTGCCCCTATTGTTCAAACAGCTGGGCCTGTTATCAAACCGATTTGCCTTCTTCACTACATTTTACGTCTTTGATGCAAAGGGCGTGCCCGTTACCAAAACGGCTTTCGCTAATACAAAAATGTTGCCCACTTCTTTCATATTGACACGCATGGCTAACATGACTGAAGCACACATTCTCGTCGAAACGGAACATAGTCACCGTTTAAGGAGGTTTCCAGGAACACAAGATACGAACAACTATAAGCAATTACGTGCACAGCACGTAGATTGCAACGATACGCGTGCTTGGCTTGTGGGGCTGTGCGGGGCTCGCCCCAACAATTTGTTGGTGCGCGCCTTTTCCAGGGTGGGAGGGAGCCGTGCCGTATGCCACACGGGTTGTAGTCTCTGCCTCTTTTCGGCGCAGTGCCTTGTCCGAAGTGTCCTGGCGGGGTGTCGCCCCTCGCCAAAGACCTGCACAACACATTCCTGGGATGGGCACTGCGCCCACGCCAGAATTTTTGTCTGCTGCCCCTCCTGCCCGGCTTGCTTTTTCGACGAATGTTTCTCCCTACTTTGTCCGCTTCCCTTCCCCTCTTCTGCTCCGTTCCTTGCCTCTCTAGGCGGGCGCGCGCGCCAAACGGCGAGGGTCCGTGGCGCAGATCCCACGGCCGCGGGCCGGGTTCCTCGGCCTCCCGGTTCCTTCCTGTTCCCCCTCCCTCGTTTCCCTCCGCCCTCCAAGATACGGGGCGCCGATTTCGCGTTGCTTAACAGTTTGGGCTCCAGCCTGTAGCGCTTGTTGCTTATCTCCAGACTGCACGGCGCCCGGACGACCTTGCACGGTGAAAGCCGCCGATTCGAGCTGCTGGCCCTCGCGTGGTGCACCCCCGCCGCGGCCCTGGGGGCGCGGACGTCAGTTTGGAGCTCCGAAGCGGTGCGGTGACTGACCGTGCGGTGACCTCGAAATCCCCCAAGACCTCGCCGCACGGTCCGTCACCGCACGGTCTTGGGACCCCGGAGGCCCCTGTCGCCCGAGACGTCCTCAGAGAACGCCCCGAGTCCCAGAACCGTGCGGTGACCCCGAATCCCCCCTGACTCACCGCACGGCGTGGTCACCACCCCGTTCGGGGGCCCCCGACCCAAGGGGCGCAGGGGCTCCTGGGCGGACCCCCTCCGGAAAACGGGCCGGTGTCTCGGTGCGCATCCGCCCGTTCCCAGTCTGGGCCTGCGCAGCCCTGCCTGCACCCGCCCCGTCCGGGGTCCTGGCGCCCATCTCCACACCCTCCGACCTCCTCTTCCTACCTCCTCCTCCTCCTCCTCCTCCTCCTCCTCCTCCTCCTCCTCCTCCTCCTCCCCTCCTCCTCCTCCTCCTCCTCCCCCTCCTCCTCCTCCTCCTCCTCCTCCTCCTCCTCCTCCTCCTCCTCCTCCTCCTCCTCCCCTCCTCCTCCTCCTCTCCTCCTCCCTCCTCCCTCCTCCTCCTCCTCCTCCTCCTCCTCCTCCTCCTCCTCCTCCTCCTCCCTCCTCCTCCTCCTCCTCCTCCTCCTCCTCCTCCTCCTCCTCCTCCCTCCTCCCTCCTCCCTCCTCCCTCCTCCCTCCTCCCTCCTCCCTCCTCCTCCTCCCTCCTCCCTCCTCCCCCTCCTCCCTCCTCCTCCTCCTCCTCCCTCCTCCTCCTCCTCCTCTCCTCCTCCTCCTCCTCCTCCTCCTCCTCCTCCTCCTCCTCCCCTCCCCCTCCCCCCTCCCTCCCCCCCCTCCCCCTCCTCCCCCCCTGGGCGACCCTTCCCTTCCCACCCTGCCCTCGGGCGCACGACCGCGGGGGCTTCCCCGGGGCCGGGCGCCCCCGCGAAGTTTTCTGGGGGGCGCGGATGTGCGTGGTCAAGCGCTTGGGCCATGAGGCCCGCTTCGCCAACGCCCTCATCCACGCCGTGCGTGGGGGTCCGGGGGGCCCCCCAAGTGGAAACGGGGGCCCGGTCATGGCCAAAGGGAGCGCAAGGTCTTGGCTCCCTGCTTCGATGGGGCCCGCGATCCCCGACGCAGCCCCGACGCAGCCTCGCGGGGGCCGAATCTGGGCTGGCTAAACACATTGGGGACAGAGCGGCAAACGGACTGGGGAGGCCAACGATACAAGACTGGCTGGATATGACAGGGGAGCACGTCGTCGGAAAAGTGAAAATGTTAGGTACCCTAGGATCCGGCGACCCTCCAAGGCCATCACGAGCCTTGCCAACACAATCCGGGGCAGAATCACTACCTATTCCGAAACAATTTCAATTGCTGGGTCCAACCACGGAAATGAACGCTCCGATCCTGACTCCGACGGCGGTCCTGCTGGCACCTGTCCCCTACCCTTCCTCGCCCACGTCTACCATGCCGAATCACGCTCCTGCGGGCGCACTGCCTCCCACAATATCCCGTAACATGGCAAACTCCCTCAACACTATTCTTGCTCTCCGGCCCCTTCGGACCCCACCGAAGGCAGCACGGAGCCTTGCATCTCCAGTGGGAGAAGACTGCGAGCCCCCACCGCCTTTACGATTGATCCCCTTAGCCATGCCGCCCCCGCCCGTTCATGATTTGCTTTTCCCACCTATGCCTGCCGGCGTACCCCCGCTGACTTGTGACCCGCCCCGCCCCCGACCGCCGAGCGTAAGGCCGCCAACGTCCCCCACCCACGGGTTTCACTGTGGCCGTAGGAGGCCATCACTCGGCTTGAGGAGGATTGAAGTCTTGACCGCTTCCCTAGCGACTTTCTGAACGTTGACCTGCGCCGAGCCTCTCATCACCTCCGTCCCCCCGCCTCCGCGCTGTCCAGGCCAAGTCAGTGGCCTCATCCCGGACGCCCCCAGCGGCCTCATCCCGACCTGCGCCTCGCAACAAACCGCGGGCGCGTCCGCAAGGGAGGCCGCCCCCCGCAGCCTTCTGAAATCCGCGCAAGGCGTCGCCGGGACCCCGCCAGCAGGTTCCCCAGAGGGCCATAGCGGCACGCAAGAAAGGGCAGGGCAACAGAGAAAAAAGGCTTCTCCGCGGCCTCTTGGGGCCTTCTTGGAAGCCTCTTGCAGAGGCTGCTTTGCGGCTCAAAGAAGGCACGAGTCCGCCCCGCCTCTAAGAGGCTTCTGAGAGGCTTCCCAGAAGGCAGGTGGGCTTCCGATGGGCTTCCTCTTGGAAAGCCGACCCCGTCGACCTGCCACCCCCTGGCGCGCCGCCGAAGACAAGGAGCGGTCCGACAAAAACGTGTTTTTACTTCGAGGCGCAAGCTTCGGCCCTGGGTGCGTGCGACCCGGCCGCCATGTATCCGATATCGAGTATTCAAAACCTACAACGTAGATCAGAGATGCGCTCACAACGTCTTGAAAATTTCCCGAGTGGCGCACGAGCAGAGAGGATGGCTTCGAATGCTGATGGATGGAAAGCGGATCAGCCTGCCCATCAGAAGGCGAATCAGGTTGGCAAGAGAAGGCGAATCGATTCGACGATGGTGCTCCTGAGGATGAGGTCGCGAGGAGGAGGCTCGACGGGACGCGCCCCAATCTGGCAGGAGGCGACGGGCAACGGGGACGTGCCTTTGACACGGTGAAACGGCAGCCCCTCGACCCGCTCCGCGAAAATCTCTGGCGCCCGTGCGCCGACCCGCGATGAAGGGCAGCTCGCCTGTCGCCGATCGACCCCACAGCAGTCAGAGTCGTTCGAAGGGGGCACGGTCGAGCGTCGAATGAAGAAGGTCGTCCCGGACGTGCCTCGCACACATGCTTTTCCGATCCAGCGCCTCGAGGCCGGCTTCGACTATTTTTTGTTTCCTCCAAAACCCTTGGGAGTATTTATGGGATTTTTTTTTTGTTTTACAATTTGGGAGTAGTTGACTATTTTTGGCTATTTCTCATTGAATCGTTTTGAAGGTCCAGGTCTCCGTGACAGCACCTGGGAACAGAGTTGCGAAAAGCTCGTCGGCGCGCCGTTCTCGAATCGTGTTCTGCTTCTCTCTGGTTTCCAAAACTTTGAGCCACGTCCTTGCCCCACTGGGTCGCTCGAGACGGCCCCGGCGACGGTGGCTGGAGCAGACCTGGAGCCTGGAAGCACCTGGGATGTCCTGAGGTATGCAGCCAAACAGAAGCAAGCCTGGCTCTGCCGCGCTTCTGCATCCAGCCCTGGCCCTTCCCTTGAAAACACACGTCCTGACGCGCGCAACTATGTAAAGACATACCTGGCTTTGCCGCGCTTGTGCACCCAGCTCTGGCCCTTCCTCTGAAAGCACACGCCCTGACGCGCGCAAGCACGTAGAAACACGCCTGGCTTGGCCGCGCTTCTGCCCCCAACCCCAGCCCCTGCCACGCTTCTCCCTCCCTCTCCCCCTCCCTCCTCCTCCTCTTCCTCGTCCTCCTCCTCGTCCTCCTTCTTTTCCTCGTCCTCCTCCTCCTCTTCCTCGCTCCTCCCTCCCCCTCCCTCCTCTTTTATCCTTGTTCCGCGCCCCAGCGCCGATCCCTCTTGCGCCCCGTGACTCCTCTGAACCAGGAGGAGGCAGGATGAGGACAAGCATCCGCATGGTGATACATCGGAGATATCTCAGAACTGGCAAGTCTGGAGACCGTATCGGGCGCTCCAGAACGCTTTGAGGGTGACGCACTGGACCGATTTTGTCATAATCCCATGCCTGCCTGATGAAGCCACTGGGCCCTTGGAGCTCCAGTGAGCCAACAAATTGGGTTCATAGCGTGGCGTCCGCCACAGCCGCAAATCGGTGGACATATGCCTACAGCCAGTCACCGGTATGCTGAGGAAGACGAGGAGGAGGAGGAAGAGGAGGAGGAGGAGGAGGGATAGGAGGCGGAGGGGAAGGAGAAAGTGGGAGGACGAGGGGGACGAGTAGGTCGGGGATTGTGGAAAGAGAACATGGAGAACAGGCCTGAAGGATGCAATGATGAGACGGGGGGGGGGGGAGATGGGGGGGACGGGCAGGAGAAGAGGGAGGGGGGTAACCCATCCGGGAAGAGAAAGGATTCGTGGACGAGGAGGGAGGGGGGAACATTTTTTGATTTCCATCGAACGGCGCGCTCACCGCGCGGCCGAGCTATTTGCTGTGCCCGAGTGATGGCTCGGCGCTCGGGCTCACACCCGACTGAGGCGGCGGCATGATGAGGAAGAGGGGGGCGCAGCAGCGGGGGAGGCGAATTCACCAGGCGAACTTTCCCATGATCACCCTGGCGCCCCTCGCTCTACAGAATATCGAAACCGGCGGCAACGACTTCGAACTCAGCCGAACACTTATGAATATTCACCCTCCCCTTCCTCCCGCTCCTCCTTTGGGGCGGTTGAGAAGCACCGCTGGAGACAGGGAACCACCGAAAGGAATGGCCCGCGGAGGCGATTGCCAAGAAGGAAGAGGGCCCGACGAGGGATCAGAGGAAGGGCGCCTCGCACAGCGTAAACGAGCTGGGCCCCCTCCCTGGATCGCGGAGCGCGCCATGGTCGGCGAGATAGGCGCCGCCAGGGGGTCCCAGCACTTCTTCACGAAACCCGCGCGGAGCGTCAAGAATGTATGTTTACGCCTCTCCCTTCTTCAAATCAAGTGACGTCAAGCGCCGAAGGAATCGCGAGCACAAACTAAGGCACGGCCCCTTGTGGCCGCATCACCGAAATGACTTGAAAACAGTAAACATCACTTCATAGGTACTTCGACCCGCCCATGCACATGATGTGCACTCAAAACTGATGCCAAGGCCGACACGTCGGCGAACGCGACGGCGCTGTGTGCGCGCCGACGCCGTCCGGACCGCCTCCCGACTCTGCGCTGCAGGAGTGACAGGCCCGGGGGACAAGGATTACCCACCAGAAGATCAACTCTTGAGCGGCCCCGCGGCCCTACCCACCCCTCTCCTTCACCTTCCAGGTTTCGAGCAGCGATCCAGGTCAGCAGCGCCCCTCCTGCCCCCCCCCTCCGTTGGTGGAGGGACAGCCCGGTGCGCGGCCGCGAGGGGCGGGCGTAAGCGCGGGCAGCGAGGGCTCGGAGAGAGGAGTCGCGCCAGCGGCGCCGCTACAGCAGCGGGGGTAGAAGGGGCACGAAAGGCAAGGACGGGTGGCAAGGAGAGGGAAGCACTCGGAAGAGAGGGGCGACGGGTCTGATCCAGAGGAGGACCAAGCGCCCCTGACAAGACAGAGCTGCCACCCAAGGCCCAGCACAGGCCCATGGCCGCACGTCCCGCCTGGAGGCCCGGCCCTCGAGTGCCCAGCAAGACGCAGCAACGAGCGGGTCACTCCCACCTCGACCCCGCCAGCGGCAACCTACCAGCAGTCGAGACGGATCGAAGGGCAGGGGAAGAGGAGGGAGGGGAGAGACACGGTAGGCGAGAAGCAAAAGGAGCAACGGGAAGAGCCATGGGGGAGGAGGGGAGGGCAACACACTAGACAACCATGAATCTGGGCCCGACTCTCGGAAGTCTTGGGTGTGATTAGAACTTCCAAACCGCGGGGCCCTTGAGCCAAAATGGCCACGTAGGAGTGGGAGTGGATTGTGGGGTGTGACAAGAGCGGGAGTAATGATGTTCTGGCTGTGGCAACCCTGGAGCCCCAAGAGGGAAACTGCAACCCGGGCGGTTGGCATCGATTCTCGCGGCGCGCCGTCTAGAGCCGCTTCTGGAAGCAGAACTCCTCGGGGACCAGTGGGTTGGGGATGAGGTAGAGGAAACGGGAGGACGATGGAGATTATGATTATGATTATGCTGCTGCTGATGCTGCTCATGGAAGTGCTGATGGTGTTGATGATGATCGTGAAGCTGCTTCTGATGACGATGGGCGAACGAGTGAGATGTGGGAAAGCAAATGGGTGCGTGGTGCCAAGCGTACAAAGAGATCATCCGTTTTCTCGCCCTCTCGCTCAAGGAGAAAAAAAAAGAGGGCTGAGTGGGAGGACGCGGACATATTCTGAGGTCCCTTCAGCGTCTATCGGGGACTTCTGGCGGTTTGTGTTGTTAATGTTTCCAGGATTGCCGAAATTTGGGGAGGGGATGGGCATGGGGGCAGGCGGAATGAGCGTGGCATGGGGGCGACATGCAAGACGAGCATGCGGCATGGGACGCGGAGGGAGCTTTCAAGAACGAGGTGGCCCCACCTTGTAAAAGCATTCGGGCTGATGTCTTCTGGTGCTGTGCCAAGCGCCCATCAGGAAGAACCTAAAGGTGCCACGTATTAAGTGAACATAGGGCGCTGGACAACAACCTGTCTGTGTCTGCCCTCCACAATGCCGCTTGTCTCCCGCTTCCCTGCTCCACTCTGTCGACTCTCTCCTCGTTGCAAGCATTCGCACAATTCCCTCTCCGCTATGTTGACCTTCACCCCCTTCGTTCTGTCGACCTCATCCCCGTTATCATCTCCCTTCCCCTCCACAATGTCGACCTTCTACCCTTCAAGAGCGCAAAGTGTCCCTTTGGTTGATCAGGACCTTATCGCCTGGGCGACACGAAAGGATACCAGAAAAATCCGCCGATCCTGTCGGCTTATGTGAGACGTTCTTCCGTTTGAATCGTCGTCGCCGTCGCCGCCCCCCTTTCACGGGCCCTCTTCTTCAAACGATCCGGCCAAACGGGAATGGAACAAAGTCGTAATCAAATAAACAATATCCCTTTCTGTTTGACCCAATTCCATGCCCGCTTTGTGGACTTTCGCCCCCTTCGTACTGTCGACCTTCCCCTCGTCATCATATCCCTTAGTTTCTACACTGTCGACCTTCTACCCTTCGAGAGCGCAAGGTGTCTCCTTGATTGATCAGGACCAGGGCTGGACCTACATGTTGTTTTTCGTTTCGTGTTTGGTTTCGCTCTACCTGTTTTCCTGTACCTCCCTGCCCAAACAAAAAACAAAACACAGCCGAAGTCCTGCAAACCAGCGCTTATGTAAGTCCAGCCCTGATCAGGACCTTGTTGCCTGAGCGACACGCGGGTGTACCAGCGGGGGTATCAAGAATATTCCGTTGCTCGCTTGACCTTCGTGGGAGCCTCTCGGGGCACTCTTGGGCCGTGCAAGGCGCATCCTGGGCTGTCTTGGGGCCGCTTTGGTGCCGTCGTGGGCCCCTCTCGGGTCCCACTTAGGGTCCTTTGGGGTCGCCCTGAGCGCCTCTTGGGCGCATTTGGGGCCGTCTGGAGCCATCTTTGAACGATCTCGGGACCCCCTGAGGCCGTGTTGGACTCTTCGAAAAGCAAACAGCGGTTCTGTTGAAAATGCCATTTTTCGAACGGAGTGTGGCGATCTCTGCTCGATGGAGTCCTCTTCGGGGCGGAGCTCTCTGGACGTGTTTAGGACGCCTTTCGGGCACGGGGGAGGATTTTTGGAGCCGCCTGTGGCCTTTTGGAATGCCTCTTGGAATGATGAACGCGACTATGGGAGCTCCTGGGGCCGCTGTCGGGCCGCGTGGGTGATTTTTGGAGCCGTCTGTGGCCGTTTGGGTGTCCTTTTGGGGCCGCTGTGGGGCCGCTGTGGTGCCTGGGGGACCAGGGGACCCCCAAGCCCGCCAGACACTTTTCGAATTCACCTGAATTGATAGAATGTATACATGTATATATAGAGGGGCATAGATATTAATGTACTTGTTTCTTTATATATCTACACGTGTGCGTGTGGCGTGTGTATGTGTGTGTGTGATTGTGTGATTGTGTGTGTGAGGTGGAGGAGGGGGGGAGAGCGAGACAGAGAGAGAGAGAGAAGTACTCCAATATAGAGCGGGAGCTAACGATAGAGTGAGACAGAACATGAACACCATCAAGACGGTGAGTTGAGAGTCAATGGGCTGGATTTCAAATCAACATAGCTTTGACATCCACACAAACCATGCGGCGTAATCCCATCAACCCTCCCGGTGCAAAATCAACCACGATCGACCCGGTAAATCGGATCGACTTGAAACATGCATCGGGTCGGGCCGAATCAGCACGGCATCGAAATCGAACCGGATCGGCTGCGCCAAGATTCACAAGAACGCCATGCAAACATCGAGCCGCATCGGATCATCGGAATCGAATCGGATCGGGCCAGGCGGAATCGACATCGAATCAGATCGATCTTATCGAGATGGACCCTGAGGTGCAGCGTCCAAAACAACGTCTTCACCCTTTCGTTGGGGAGTTTACCTCCCCCTCCCAAATGTGGGGGAGTCCAAACGCTGTGAGCGCAAATAGCCTCCAAGCGCAAGGTGGCCCAAATTGATCTCAAGCTGAATCTGAGGTTGGACGCGAGACTCCCAAGGATGCTCAGTATATGCCCAGGGCAAGGAAACGCGAGAAACTTTCCAGCAACATTGGCGTTGTCTTTGCTTACCACAGAAACATCAAGACTGCCCAAGAGTGGTTCAGAATAGTTATCAGGGGCGCGCCAGGGAGGACCCAAGAACACCCTGAGAAATACCTAGGAGATTTTTCCACGAGCGCCGCAACAAGTGGCGCGGATTGACGTCGCACCCTTCTGGTGACCTGAGCCTCTAAAGCAACCCAGAAACTCCCAGAACAAGATGATTAGCCTGGGATAACAGCTCTGTCTGGGCCCAATCACCGTTCTGAATCAGTCAAATGAATTATGCCAACGGTCACACATTGCCAAGAACGAACTACCCGCAAGGCTCGCGACATCGCGGCTGGCCTGCTTTGATGTACGCCGGCGCAGCCTTGGCAAACAGCAGCGGCGACACATAGAACATGCGCAATATGAGACAGAGACCGGATCCAAGAATGAATAATTCTTAGGGCTGTGGCTGGAAGGCATAATGCTGGCCGACTGGGATTACATCGGACCATTGGAGAAGCGCGGGAAGCTCAGCCACAATGCTGTGGGGTCCGCGAAACGCTTCGAAATAAACGGCCAAACCCTGCAACATGACGAACTTTTCCTTGTTCCCGCAAGCCTGGCTCCTGCTGACAATTTTCAGAGTCATGAACGGGATGCGCGTAAGATAGAAGAGCTGTGGGGAACGTCTACAGCATCACGATGACGTGTAATTCAGGCGTGCTCCCCGAACGTCTACAAGGGACAACTATGGACACACACAACTCCCAGACCCACCAAGGGAGCAAGGACAGACACAAGCATCCTACCCCAAAAAGGCTGCCAGGCTGTCTCTTAGACCCTCTCGTGGTATCTCGGCGGGAGCTCCAGCTACGGCTGGCAACGATGAGCAAGGGGAGTGGAGAAGAAGTGAGGAAGAGAAACGAGGGGGTGGAACCTCAACAGGCCAATGCAACCAATGTGTCCCCAAATGGTTTAGCTGGGCTCGGGACTCACACGAATAAGAGATGATCATCCTTCGTTTTTTTGCTGGGGCCCATGTTGGAAACTTAACTTTTATCAGAGCTCCAGCCGAAGACGAACAACATTTACAACTAATAGGTTGTCAATGTTTTCCAGCTGTCCCGAGACAAGAGCAGCATAACATATCCAACGCACACATAATGGTTCCGATCCGAAATAAGTGTTTGAAGATGTCCTGAGCGAACCGCTTGCTGTTGACTAACAATAGTGAACACATAGTTTGTCAATACTTGTGCCTCTTGGGCCGTCTAGGTGTTCCTTCAAGAACATTGAACCGCGTCGGAAAACCGCCATCTGAACGCGTCGGTCTCTCGGATGACCCATTGTTTTTTCAGAAACGACGTCCGACAACGAATCCCCAACTATCTCGCTTTTGCTGAGGATGTCTCAACCAAAACGCATGTTTTGTCCAGAACCTGTCGTGACAGGAACGGGAAGCGCGTCATATTGAACCGCCGTGGGGCACGTCTACAACATCAATATGACATGTAACTCAGGCGTGCTCCCCGAGCGCCTGCATGGGATGACTATGGACACACACCTCCAGACCTACCAACGGGAGCAATGATAGACACAAGCATCCTTCCCTAAAGGAACTGTCAGGCCATCTCTTGGAGCCCCCTGCGGTACCCCAGCGGGAGCTCCAGCCATGGTCGGCAACGACGAGCGGGGAGAAGTGGAGGAGAAATGGGGAGAATCAAGGTGGAGGAGGAACCTCTCAACAGGCCAATGTAACCCATTTGCTTCCAAATGCTTGAGGCGGACTCGGAACTCAGACAAATCATAAGGACAACGGTTCGTTTTAAACTGGGGCAGATGCTGAACATCAACCTTTATCGGACATCTGACCGAATGCAACATGCTCAAGAACCATTCCGTTCACGATGGAAGGTGAACCCTCAGAACACTGTATCTTACAACGCGTTCCAACCCATTCATATTCACGGAGACCCGTCTGACACCAACTTCTGAGGGGGCCTCCATCGAACTGACTACTTTTGTGCAACTGTGTTGCCCATTGGGCAATGCTGCATCGAACGCCACCTATTCCGATACCTATACCAAAACGCCCCCAATGATACATTGAACACCATCTCTTTGGACGCCTCCATTTCGTTAATGGTGCCTTCAACGAGACCGTCCTCTAGAAAAAAGTGAACAGCCCGCGAACGATTCCAGCATCTTCATTTTTGAAGATTCTGCAACGGTATCATATGTTTCATTTGCAGCATAGGGAAGCTGTTTCTCCATCACCGTTTCTCTGGATGATGCCTAAAATGCAGTCAATGGTTGTTCTCCGAGACAAGGCTGTCTTAACATGGATGGGAAGCGCATGAGGTTGAAGATCTGCGCTGGAACGTGCAACAACATCAAGGCGAGATGTGATGTAGGAACGCTCCCCGAGCGTCCCCAGCGGAACAACTCTGGACCCATGGCCGACGACGACGAGGACAAGACAGGAGAAGCAGAGGAACAACCGGGAGGTGCAGCGGGAACCTCAACGAGCCAGCGGGCCCCCGAGTCCGCCCATACGGGATGGCTCTGCAAAGCCCGTTCGGGGTGGAACCATCACGCCAACGACGGCCCAGGGACCTCCAGCAAGCCGCCACGAGGCCACCACAGAAGCATGTGAGAGGGCATCTGAGGCCCACAAAGAATGTCGCCCACAACCGAAATGAGCTCTCAAAACACATCGCACACACACACATACACGACTGACAACGTAACCGCCATGCGACGTCACGGCCACGCCACGCCACAACATCGCAGCACATCGCAGCACATCGCAGCGCCGCTTCCCAGAAGGTTCCGAGATGGTCGGAGACGGTTTCTTCGGGGAAGCTCTGTATAATCTTTGCGACCAACGCAAACCAAGAGAGGCGTTCGGTTCGGAGGGAGAGCTCAAGGATAGCCATGTCGTTTATGAGGTCTTTCAGGGTCAACTCGTTTGAACGACCCTGCATGCCTTTCGAGGCTGCGCTGACACGACGGCCAAATTTACTATGTCTTGTTACGCGTGAGCGCGTGTCCGCGGCGCATCCGCTGCGTGGGGGCCAACAGACTCTTCTCCTGGCCCTCCTCCTGATTCTCCTCCTCGTCATCATCCGACTTCTGGGCGAATGCCAGAAACCCTCGTGAAACGGTCGTGGAGAGTGCGAGGAGAGCGCGACAAACACGTCTCCGGGCGGACATCACAGTTTGGGTGCGACGTGTTGGCGCGCAGGAACCGAGCGATGACCACGGGAACTATCTTGGTACTTTGCGCTGCAATGGGGGCCCGAAAATATACACCACCACCACCTCCCTCACCCCCTTCCTCTCCCAGGAAAGAGGAAAGGAAGAGGAGGGTAGAGGAGAGAGGATGAATCGACGTGGTGGTGGTGTATATTCTTTGGGTCCCCATACTTTGCGCTGAAAGAGACGGCCTTCGCTTCGCGGCACCACCGCTCCCAGACTCTGGGCAGTTTTGTTGCTGGGCGCCTCCCTCGCCTGCTCTGGGGAGGCGGCGGGGAGGAAGCCGGCGGGGAGGAAGCCTGGCGGGGAGGAGAGAGCAACTGGCGATCGCTGAAGCTCGGAAGCTGGGCGAATGCTGCTAAAACCGTGGCCGCTAAAACGGCCCTCCCGGAAAGGAAAAACAACTTCCCGGAATGAGGCGCGGCACGCGAAACAATCAACGGGCTTTTTCCCGGAAGGACGAAGACAACTTCCCAGAGGTCGATTTTAGCAGCAACGGATTTAGCAGCCCTTGCCCGCTGAAGCTGCACAAGCAACACTACACAAATACAGAAACGCGTGGAAATCATGGCGGGAGCTGGGGCCCAGAGACTGCACCCACAGGACGCTGCAATGACATGGTACACAAGCAAACGCACATATCATTCGCTCACGCACGCCTCCCTCAACGTTTGCATACACATGTACATACCAATGCATGGCAAAAACAGAAGCGGGCCTGCGTCACGCCGTTCGTGTACGTTACCTGCGAAGATAGACAATCATCTCGCAAGGGCGAACAAACCGACGAAAGGTGCATGCCGTCGCGTCGTCTGACACCGCCCCGCGCTAAATAAATAAGTTCAGCGGCCACGGACATGTTCTCATACTTGCACCAGGTGTGTATTCAGGGTCAGAAGAACAATAACTGTTGTAAGCCCTGCCACTAGCAAACCTTCACTTGCTGGTCATTGCGCGAAAAAGAGACCAAGCCCCATACGGCAATTTGACCGCATGCTCTCGTACTGCACTTGCTCAATCACAGAATACAGAACACGTGCTTGCATCGCTAATGTTGTCGTTGCCGTTTTCTGCTTGTGCTTGTTCCGATCTCAGATGGCTCCACTTCGGCCCCCAAAGTGTTGAGGAATGCCTGAAACAATTTCCAATACGCTGTCAAGATGCCCCACGATGGCTCAATATCGCCCTGTAATCCGCGGCGATGTCCCCAAGATGCCCCCGATATGGCCCAAGCCCACAAGACGCTCCCGCCAAGATGGTCCAAGAGGCCCATGAAGCCGCCAAAATGGCCCGAGACTCCACAAAGCGCTACGATGTCAAACCAGCTGTGCGAAAACGTCTGGGTGACCAGAGGGCTGACGGCAAAGACGAAGCCATTGAACATGCACCGACCAAAAGCGCTACACACAATCGGGCCCCTATCTTTGGCCTTTTTCCCTGCCCGTGTCAGTGTTTCCATCAAGTTTCCCTGAGATGATGTAGCGAAAAAGTGCAACATCGTACAAAATCACGCCTGGAATCCTCGGCCCCATCTTTCTGCATCATTTTTCGAACCGGATCGATCCAAGGGTCCGAAAACAGGCGAAAACGCCCGGCTTGACGACAATTGAGACATCAAGATCTCAGGGTTTAAGTGTATGCCGCTGTCTTTGCAGCATCTCTGCGTCTGTCTATGCCCATCGCTTGCTCCTCCCATCTTGCGGATCGGCACGCCCTCTTGCGCCCGATCACAAACCTCCACTCGAGAAGAGGAGAGAAAAAGAAGAAGCGGGGACCCGCAAATACGACGTCGTGATGTTCCATGGTATGGCCCCGCAAAACTCTAGAACTCCCCAAACTGGCCTCTCATCCCGAGTCGGCTTCTGACGGCCCAGGGGGCCAGTGAGGTCGCCCAGAGGCGAAACAGTGTCCAAAACCGTCCGAGGTGGCTTCTCACGACGCGAAGTTGTCAGGGAGTGGGAGGAGAGCCCTCGATGTAGACTGGGTCGATTATGGCAAACTCGACCGCCCCATAATCTCCAAAACATCTTCCCACGACTTTTCTGCCACCTCCAATCTCCAAGAAATCCTCCCGCGAATCTCCAAAAACTCTTCGCGCCTAAAAAAAAACATGTTTTTTTGCCAAGAGGGCCCTGGTCGCGTTTGCCATATTGACCCAATCCAACCCTCGATCACGCCCCCTCCGTCTTGCTGAGCCCCGGCGCCGAATCACATCGTGGCCGGGCGGCGCAAAGGAGCGCCGGCCTGCTGGTCGCCGTCCGACCGGCCAGTGCTGCCCTGGGCGATCTCGACCTCCGCGATGAGTTCGGTGCCCGGCTCGAGCCTTGGCAGCGGCAGCAAGAACGTTCCCGCACCAGCAGTCCACAGGGGATGGAGGCCCGCGTCCCTCCCCCCTCGTCTCTCCTCCTCGTCTCTCCTCCTCCTCCTCCTCCTCCTCCTGCTCCTCGTCCTCGTCCTCGTCCTTGTCCTCCTCCCCTCTGCATCAAGTCGCGCTCTTGCAATCGATTGCCGCCCTGGTAGCGCGGGGACGGCAAGGAACGGCGTGCTGAGGCTCATGTGCTGCCCTGGTCTGGGTCAAGGACTGCGGGGGGTTCCACAACAAGGCGTGTTGCTCTTCAAGTGTCCTGGCTGCCGGCGAATTTCGCGCGAGATATTCCCACACTCTGACCGCGAATGGGCAAGTTCAACATCCCCTAGCGTGTTCTCCTTAGGGTGCCCAGATGCTGTGCTTGCTATGCCGAGAAGATGGCGAGGCTTCGAAGAGGCAGGGGTCGGGGACTTCACACGAGACACTCGCTCGAGACATCCCCTCAATCTGAACGCGAACGGGCTCGTGATGTACCCTCTGGCGACTTCCCCTTGGGGTGCCCACTTACTGTGCCTGCTACATCGCGCTGAGCACGAGCGACTCGAAGTATGAAGGGCGAGCATGGTTGGGCCTGAATATGACTGGCAAAGTGTGGTGTTGTCTGAAAATGAGCGTGAGTATGAGTGACTCGGGATGTGACTTATCAATGTGTGAGCGGCCTGGGCGTCCGAACCTGAGTGTGACAAAGTCGACTGTGAATGGATTTGAATGTTTGGCACGTATGAGTGAAAATGAGTCTGCGTGTGCGTCTGTGGTCTGCGCATCAAGTACTAAGTTCTAGCGAATACGAACGTGAGTTCAGTGCATGATTGTGTGGCCTGAGCGTGGGCAGTGTAAGTATGACTGAGTCTGAGTGAAATTCTGCGCGTGAGTCTGAGAACGGCTGTCTGTCAGTGGGTCCGAGTATGAGTGCATCTGAATGTCAGTGAATCTCGTTATGTTTCGGACTGCGCTCAATATGAGTGGTCCTGCGCATGACCAAACCGAGTTTTTACACGGAGGAAAATGTGGAAGCGTCACAAAAATAGCAAGGACCCTATTTGAGGATGGGGGGGGGGTAATGATGGGAAGGAGCGGGAGGAGCAAACGTGGCCATGAGGGGCGACGCCATGTCTAGGCGGAGCGCGTCCCACAACCGCCCGAAAAGGTCCACGGGGAGCTTCAGGGCGTGCCGACCGGCACCGACGCCATCGTCGCTCTGCTTGTAGGTCAGGGTGCCGGGTAGGAGCGGGAGAAAGAGGAGCGAGAGGAGAAGGGGGAGGAGGAGGAGGACCGGTGTAGACCCAAGAGTCATCCACGATATTGGAATAAGCCCTCCCTCCAAGCTCCCTCTTCATAGGCCCCTACAGCGGTTCATGTCCACTGAGGGACCTGCCTCGTTGGACGACAACCGTTTGAAGACCCTGAAGCATGCCATCGGGATTTCAACGCCACGGATCAAACGGATTGTTGCGTCTTGACGATCCTGATTCGTGCCAGAAAGCCATTCCTGGAACTTCAACACCGCGAATCAACGTAACCCTAGCGCCCTCATAGTCCTGAATCCGTACAAAAAAAAAAACTAATTTCTGGTACGCTGATCATGGGAATCCGTGGGACTCTTGCAATTGTTAAAAACGAATGTGCGCGGCGCTGAGGCGATAACCACATTTTGAAACAGAACCGCCCTCAATCCGTGAAACTCTGGCAACTTTTTAAAGCGAATGTACGCGGCGCTGAGGCGAGATCCACATTTTGATAACGACACGCCTTCAATCCGTGAAGCTCTTGCATTCAAACAACGAGTGCACGCGGCGCTGAAATGAGAACCACATTTTGAAAACGACCCTTCAATCCGTGAAACTTGTGGAATGTTTTACAACGAATGTGCGCGGCGCTGAAGCGAGAACCACATGTTGAAAACGACCCGCCCTCAATCCGTGAAACTCTTCGAATTTTTAAAACGAAAGTGCGCGGCTCTGAGGCGAGAGCCACATTTTGAAAATGACCCGCCCTCCATCTGTGAAGCTGTTGCCACTGTTGAAGCCTTCAGGGTCGTAAATCGCGAGGAGGTCTCAAATGAAACGCCCGGCCCGCCCTAAAACCTGGCCTCGGGGTGCGACACCAATAAATTACTTATAACGGAAAGGAGCGGAGGACGAGGAGGATGAGGAGGATGATGATGATGAGGAGGAGGAGGAGGAAGAGACTATCTGGGCTTCCCCCCTCCCCTCCCCAGCCGTCGCCACGGCCTGGCAAAGATCGGCTTGCCATCGTACTCCTGCGCAGGGGCCCCGCCAGGCTGGGGGGAAGGCGGCGGCAGCGGGCGAGGGTTGGGCGGCGTGCGCTGCAGCCGGGGGGCGACCTCGTGGGAGGGGAGATGGAGTACGCACGTACTGAGCACTTCACGCACTTGCGGATAAGAGTGAGGGCGCGGTGGCGCTCTCGCCAGATCCCTTCGCTCCAGACACCCCGCCCAGGACCCCCCCGCCCAAGACCCCCCGCCCAAGACCCCTCGCCCAGGACCCCCCGCACCGGACCCCCCATCGAGGACACCCCGCCCAAGACCCCCTGCCCAAGACTCTGCTCAGGACTCCCCGTCGAGCAGAAACGGGTCCACAACGGCCACGCACGCTCAGGGATGAAGTGCGACCCTTCGGGCATCCTAACTCTGACCCTGCCATCCTCCCGTAGCGAAAAACTACGGCGGGATGCCTTCAACAATTTTCCGCTTCTGGGGGCCCTGGGCGAGCCCGAGACCGTCAAAGAACGAGTCGGGATGAAAAGCTGGTCCCTGGGAAGAGGTCCATACCCCTGGGAGGGCCAACGGTTGAATTGAGACAATCACGACGTCGGATGCCTGGGGATTGGAAAGGTTTAGAAGAGTCTCTCCGATCTCTCCTCCGTACCTCCCCCTACTCCTCGCTTCTCCAATTCCTCCAAACTTCTCTTCCCTCATTTCAGGATTTCCAAGTTTGCAAAGGCTCCGCAACGCCACAGCGACGCGAAGCCAATGCCAGAACAAGAAAAACAAAAACTCGGGACACTCACGCACGTTTTTTGCTCTGCGGCGCGCTGCTGCCGGAAAACAATTTGGCGCTCGTGTCAATACCCACATCTATACGACCACCCTTCGGGTGAGGTTGGGGGAAGTGACAGAACCAACTGCTGGCAACTGCGGTGGGTGTGAAGATGACGATGCTGGTGGCACGCCCTTGAGTTGGACACCACGAGACACCATCGGGACACCACGGCGGGACACCGCGGGATACCATCGGGACAACGCGGGAAACCACGGCGGGACACCCCCAGCCACTACGCGCCCACTGGAGGGCCGGACTTTTGCATCCCAATCACCCTAACGACGGCAGGATCACTCCTCTCGCGCGCCCACGGCGAGACACCGCGGGACACCATCGGGACAACGCGGGACACCACGGCGGGACAACCCCAGCCACCGTGCGCCCACGGGAGGGCCAGACTTTTGCATCCGAATCGCCCTATCGACAGCGGGATTACTCCTTTCGCCTGCCGACGCAACTTCGCCTCGCCCGCATGCACGACACGATCACGAAACCGAAACCGATTTCCCGGTGGGGGGCTCTCCGTTCCATTGCTATCTCCCCACTCCCAACTTCCGACCACGCTGTACGTGCTATGGAATACTGTGCTGTGCACACGGGAGACCACAAGGACAAAAAGGATATCAGACGGGATCGCCAACAGGAGAGTAACAGAGTACCAGCGGCGCCGCAGCAGTCGAATCGATAGCTGCGGCCGAAACCGAACACTCACCGACGGGTGGGCCGAGAGGCCAGCCCCTCAGGAGAGAGAGAGAGAGAGAGAGAGAGAGAAAACAAAATAACAAAAAAACGGGACAAAAAAACGGCGAGTCGCGCAGGCTAGGCCGCATCAGGCGGCCGCAAGTGGTGCTAGGCAAGATGCCTGGCAACGCCCGCAGCTGCATTGCAGGAGTCAGCATCAGCAGCTGCCATACTCGGACCCGTCCCACGAGTCCCCGTCCACCGCCTCCGCTCCCGAATGTCTCATGGCAGCCAGTCTCCTCGAGGCGCAGTGCAGCGAGCACACGACGCGTCTCCTCTGTGAAAGGCCGCTCCTGGCTGGGGGCAGACTGTGCAGAGCCCCTTGGTTTAGGGGCAGATGAGGGTCGGGGCTGATGTAGGCTCGCACCCGTGAGAGGATGCTCGCCTCTCTCCGCAAGGCTGAACATTCGCGCATGGGCCGCGCGCTTCGCTCCGACTGGGGAGGACCCGGGCATCGCTTCGCGAGGCTTCTGCATCTCCCGCCGGGCAAGATCACAAAGCTCGCGCAGCTCTGGCAGATGATGGCACGGCCCTGTTGAATCGGCCCGTGGTCAAGTTCGCGGACGGCATGGAAGCCATCCGCGTGCAAGCCGAGGTTCGGGCCCCCCGGGTCCCGAGAGGCACCAGGAGTCGGGGGGGGCGGCCCCGGGCCCCCGCTCGCGGAGGAGGAGGAGGTGGTGGGAGGAGGACGCAGGCTCTCGCTGGCCAGTTCCATGGCGGCGGGAGCCGCACGCGTGGACTCAGAAATGGCATCGGTCCCGCTCAACTGCTGAAATGAATTTGGCGCTCTCCACATCTGGACCGCCGTTGGCTCGCACCTGCGACTTGCGCCAGTGCGCAATCCTTTTAAAGTGAGCTCTGCACGAGCTGTGACGTTGCACTTCTTACATCCCCACTCCGACCGAGCTGGGATGTAGCGCGAGTCATGCTGCTGGTCCCGTGCGTGCGCGGTGCATCTCCTGCAATGTCTGGGTGCGCTGCAGGGGCTGCGGTGGCTCAAGTCGCTCTCCCGCAGCGCTCGCGATCTGCTCAGCTCTAGACAACGAGTCCCAGGTTTCTTGATGTCTCTCTAGGAGCGCAAGCTCGGCCTGGACTGCGTCATCGGGAACTCGATGCATTCCCGGGCCCAGTCGAGCGAACCAATTAGCCCAGAGGTTGCCGAGCAATTTCTGGATTGCATCTTCGTCGGATCCTGAAGCCTGGTCCAGCGTGCGGCGCGCTGGGGCCCAAACGAACTTCGGCCTGCTTCGGCCTCCGTGGCGCAGCTCAAAAACCGCTCTCCATGGATCAGCATGGGCGCCTCTCGCCGTTCCCAAACCAGGGTCAGAACTTACCTTTCGGGCCAGCTGGAGATGGTCCGTGACCGCCTCGGCCCCCTGGCGTGCAACTTGGATTCCACGTGAGGCCGCGCCGCGTAGCGCTCAACACGGGGCACCGTTTGACGCCCAGGAAGTGGCCCGTGCAGCGCCCTCAGGGGCCGCCCCCAGGGGCCCGCCTCGACACAGGCCCATCCACACCTCCTGAGCTCTAGGCTAGAGTTGCTTAGCCCTGAGCCGTCGGCGTATATGCGCCTTCCCCAGGGCCCTTCAGTTGCACCCCACTGGTGCACATGGGTTTCCTGCAGCTCAGGGATGCTGAGAAGAGAAAAAAAAACCATACGAGAGCTCAAGAGTGTCCCAGTCGGCCTGCAGAGCCACATCGCCAGTCTCGTTTAAAGCTTCCCTGTGCTCGGGGAGGTCATCTGGGAAGGGCTCCACTTCGAGGTCATCTGGTGCGTGTGTTTACATCGGGCAATCGTATAGTTGGTGGCCAACTGTGGCCACCAGCGGGCGCCAGTCTATATCCAGCTGCATGTTTCCTGGCTGGCGGCCAGCATTCTGATCCAAGTAGTAGCCTCGTGCACCTCCTCCGTGCGATATCTCGCATGTTCAAGATAAGTCGTCTGGCCACGCCTCCAAACCTTTTCATGCTCGCGCGCTTCAGGGATGTGGCCCAATATTATCCTCATCTGCCACCGCCCAATCGCATCCTGAAGCATCTTCTTGAAATCCAGGGGCGCGGTGGTGAGAAGAGGGATAACCTTATTCTGGTCGAAGCGAATGAAGTGGGAATAAGGCATCTTACATCAAACTCTCTCCAATGATAAGTCCGTTGCAGATAATGGATCATGTCATCGTGCCTGCGTGGGTGTGTGCCCAAACTCGCGCGCAATGGCCTGAAACGCACGTTGGAGTTCAGCAAGGGTAGACAAGCCATCCCACATCACGTCAATATGCCTGACTGAAAATAAGATGGTGGCGTCGTAGATCGGGTCGAAATGTTGCTTGCGTAGCCAACCATGCCGTTATTGATGCGTGCCTCCTGGCCCCTGCAATCCCAGCCGCGACCGGTCCGAAAAACTTGGGCGTCACGTGTGTGATCCCGCTCACGCCTGCCCCATGCGCCGCGGCGGGTAAGAACCCTGTTATCCAGAGTGTCCTGACTTTACGTTTCGCTCCGCGCACTAACGCTCGTAGTGCATCCTTTCTGGCAGTCAATCCTGCACGTCGCTTGCGCTCAGCGACTCGTCGGCATTTGCGCCCCCATAGCTCGCATCCTAGATTGCCCATGTGCGTGTAGGTCTTGATGCGCATTGCTCTGGCGAGCCTTCCGAATGCCGCGCTTTTCCTCGTAGGCGGTGGTGACGCATCCGCAAAAGAAAACTTGAATGCTGGGGCCCATGCCGCATACTCGCCTGGTGAACCACGCCGCTGCAGCAAAATGGATGGACGCCTGCTTGGGGTCCGCCCCTGTCCATTGGAAGCCTGCGCCATCCATCGGCATTTGTGTCGCGACGCTGTCGTATCTTGCCTTTGCGTCGATCAGAGGTCTTGTGTAGCAGTAGGTGCACCATGGCAGAGGCATGCGAGCTGCCTGCCAGTATGCCTTGATAGCTGGCGCATTCGTAAGACAGAGACCCCCGCGCTCAATGGTAGCTGGTGAGGATCATCCATGGTCGCCTGAGCGGGTATCCCAAAGCTTGGGCCTGCTCGAATATTTTCTGCAACTTAATCATCTCAGAACATTTGTACATATCGACGAAAATCGTGACCGACGCGTGGCCTTGCAGCTGCGCCACTTCTAATTTGAGATTATTGAAAATGCCGAGTCTAGAGAGGCACCTCCTGGCCGGGCTCCCCATAAAGAAATTTCATGATGCTTTTGCTCCCGCTCACGCGAGAAGGGCCTTCGCAGTCGCGGCCATGTCCTGTCTGCGGTTGCGATGGGGGCGGCGAGTCGGTGCCCCCCCTCATGGTTTGGACCATCTCACCATTCGCATTTGCAGACGTCGTGATGGCCAGCAGCAGAGTGCCTCACATCGTCGCAACAAGTGCATAATGCTTCCAACCCGCATTCAGAAATCGCGTCTAATGCTCGAGGGTGTCTGTTGATATGTGCAATCGCTGAGCTGAGTTCGAACGTCCTGAGTACTTGTCGTAGCTGTGTCACCGTAACTGGAGGTAGCTCCAGGCTTGGACCACACCAGGCCTCTGCATTTTCTGAATGCCACGTGTGGCCCATATTCCCGCCCAGGCATCCATGCGCGAGTCAGCCATCTCAAATCGCTGCGGAACGAGCCGCGGTGGAGTCCATCACCTCTGGTAAAGCACGAAGCTTGGGGCATCCACGCGCCTGGCCAGCTCCGTTGGCAGAAGAAGCTTTGGCCCATTCGTTCCACTCCGCCGCTTTGAAATAACCAATAGCCTGGATGACCCCCTCAACTTTGTCAATCATGATCCGGGCGATCTCGAAGAAACTACCCCTGCTGAGTGTGCCGCTCAGGTCCAAACTGTGATCGCGTTGCTCGGCATGGAGGCGCGCTGCAGTCCACCCTGGCCTCGAGGCACTGCGGGCACCGCCCTGGAGGCCCAACGCAGACATTGCCATGGGCACCTCCTTGTTCTGCGCGTCGGATGTCGCGCCTCTGTCGCCGAGACTCTGATGCGTGTCGTGCGCGGCCAAGGATGCTGCCCCAGCCATGCAAGTACTTGGTGCGGTGCATCTTGGCAGCGTGTGCAGAGGAATCGCGCCGCGTCCATCAGCCTCTGCCTGCGCTCGTTCAGCGCGCAACGCCGTTCTTGTCTTCGTAGCTCTCATCTGTCAGAACCAGCGGATCACCACATTGTAAGCATGCAATCTCTGTGGCGGCTTTGGCTCCGGCACGGCGACCATCGCCAATTTCCATGTTGGTGGTCCCGCGCGTCCCTTGTGCCGTCCCCTATCAGCTCCTGTGACATCGTGGCGGCCCAGTGGTTTTTCCTCGCGATAGCCTGGCACCGCGTTCCGCGCCGCGGCAAGTTCCTCCTCGTCGGCAACATGTGGGGTGAGCCGTTTAGCTGAGTTCAATTCACGAATAAGCGGGAATCGTGCGCACCCAGGCCGTGTCATGACATCAACTGAAGCTGGCTGCTTAGAACGCCTGACCGCATGGTATGTTGAGCATGTTGTGAAATAGTCGTGCTGGTTGGTGTGGGAAAGCATCCGCGTCCTCCTGCACAACTGGCCCCCCAGTTCTACGCGCTGCCATGGGTGATAGACACGTGTAGTCAATGATTGTACCTGGCTTGGCCTGGAGGCAAGTAGGGCACGCTGTGCAATGTGCAATGCCACCGATCGAGTACAACCGTGGCCTAAGCAAATCCACATGCATGTTCCAGCCCCTAGCCAGAAGCCATGGTTGACCCCGCGCACAAAACTCACACAATTACTGGGTTATCTGGTGCAAGATATCCATATTCGCCTCGGAGAGGCCTTGGCCGTCATAGAGATGCACCGTCAACATGGCGAAGCGTGTTTGGGCCCCCGGCGGACGCGCGCTGCTGGTGCCCTTCCAGGTGCCAGCTCTGATGTAGATCATCCTGGGGGCAAGGGTGGCTCTGCCCTCGATGGTGCCAGTATGGCCATGCCCCCGTTGGCGCTCCCTTTGCTGGAGTCTGGTTCTGGGGCCCATAGCCCTGAAAAGCCTGCTCGAACCGCTTGATGCTGAACGTCTGGTAGCTTGGCGGCCTCCGCGTGGTGCTCCTGGATGCAACAGGCGCATGATCCGATCCATGGTATCTTAAGCATATCACTGAGTCGGCCGCGGGGAAAAAACATTGGCTGTGACAGCAAGGCTTGCTGCACTAGAGATGGCCGCGAGTATTCCTTCCTCTCCAGCTGTTGTGCTCGCAGCGACCATGTGCTTAGCGGCTTAGCGTCCGTAGTAGCTGCGATTGGTGTCGCCACCGAGCTTGCCACGTCCACATTCATCCGAAGTATAAATCACCATCGTACAATAATTCTGCCACTCTTCCCCACTGCAGTTCGGGTCGGCTTGGCTGCCTTGCCCGAGTCACCGCTTGTCCAACCAATGTCGTACATGCTGAAAGACTGCGTCGGCGTTGGAACAGGCTGGAGATAATCAAAGATAAGTCGACCACCCGCACAAGGACGGCGTAGTCGTTCCACCCCTGGTGCACGGAACGCCAGGACTGCAGTACGTCCACACCCCAGATGTGGGGTATACTCGCACGGTTGCCTCCCCTTCTGGCAGTCGCATCGGGCCGTGCACTCGCTCTCCTGAATACAGCGGTAAGTAATATCTGTTGTAATAAAAAAAAACCACCCACACAAGGACGGCGTAACCATACCACCCCAGGTGTAGGAGGCGCCAGGACGGCAGCACGGCCACACCTCGGATATGGGGTAACTGCCCACGGACGCCTGCCTCTCGGGCAGCCGCGTCGGGCCGTGCGCCTGCACGCGGGAGCCTGGGTTCATCCGGTCGCATCGGGCCGTGCGCAACCGAAACAAGCACCAGCATGACAAACATAGTGATGCACATACAGTATCTGATGATGGCTCGATCACACGGTGCGGCGTTTCTTGGCAGAAGCTTCTGCAGCTTCTGCAAACCTTTTTGGCAGCATCTCGCACCAACTGGTCTTTCGGCGGCTCTGAACCAAACGCATGCTGGTAGAAGGACCTGAGCTAACCGATGTCGTCCTGGTCCATTGGTACTGGTATTTGGAGTCCACCCGCTTCCGACTGCGATGCTGCCGCATTTGACGCTGATGCTGCCGAGTCCTGATGCGCCGCCGCCGCTGCCTCAGCGCTCTTCTTCGCCTGCTCCTCGACCTATTGGTGTAGCGCACGAAGCTGCTCAAAGCACGTCGCCGCAGTAGCTGCCAACCCTTCGTCGGCGCCCGCGGCCTTGAGGAGCTGCCCGAGCTTCTCGACTGGAACGTCGAGCGCGGGCACCGTGGTCTTGAGCGCGTAGCTGTCGGGGAGCGGCGCCGGCATCTTGGCCAAGACCGTCCATTTTTCATGCTCGAGCTCCTGAGTGCTAGCAACCTGCTGCGCAATCGTCTTTTGGACATCGTCAATCTGAGCTTCAAGCTCGGACCTCTGGAAGCGCTCCTCCTGTTGGAGCTTCTTGTTTGTGAGCTCCTTGATGCGAGTGGTGTAGTTCGCCACTTGCGCAGAGAAGGGCTTATTTTCGATAGTGAGTATGATGCCGTTCCTCTCTTGCTCCAGCTCGGCGCGGGCCCGCACAACCGACTGCTCCTGCACGTTGCCGATTGCCCTGAGGGTGTTGGCGATCTCGGTGAGCCTGCGCTGGCTCGCATCGTCTGCAGCCTCTGTAGCTGTTTCTGGTCCTCATCCTGTCGACGCTTCTTCCGCTCGCCTTCAGCCGCTGGGGATCGCATGCTGGAAACATCAATGCTTCCTTCCCTTTTTCCGCCAGAGCTCTGTGATGATGCAAGAAAAGCCGATTCGCCTGCGATGAGAATGCCGAGGCCCGGCCCGCCGTGCTTCGCGGCGGCCGGTAGCTGGATTCGTCCAGCTCACAGAGTCCCAGAATATTTGACGACAGTGCTGGTTGGAGCGCTGGAGGCAGCAAGCAGGGTGGACCGCGGGTGGGCCCAGAAAAGTTCGAGCCCTAACGAGTACGGAGGAGGAAAGCGTACAGACTGCAGAAACAAGTGATGCAAGCTACTTCTAAGCTGTTACATTGAAATGCCATTGCGTTCATTAGAGTGGTGCGAGAGGACGCGCAAACAGCGCTGGAAAAACAGGCGGGGGGGAAATTCTGTACAAAACGATTGTTTTGTACAGAATGTCCCCCCTTGAGCTTTTTCCCAAGAAAACCGCTCTGTAAACAGATGTCATACTCACAGCTCAGAGGGCCCTTGGATCATCCTGCAGGTGGCGTTCTTTGCAGTACCGCGTGGCGTCTTTTCACGTCAGCATAAGTGTGCACGCACAAGAAATGCTTCCTTCCCTTTTTCCGCCAGAGCTCTGTGATGATGCAAGAAAAGCCGATTCGCCTGCGATGAGAATGCCGAGGCCCGGCCCGCCGTGCTTCGCGGCGGCCGGTAGCTGGATTCGTCCAGCTCACAGAGTCCCATACCCACAAACAGTAGTGTACTGGACAGCGTTGCTGGCCACAGGTCGGCGGCGATTTTGCGGTGGCGCCAAGCCCGCAAAAGGGGCGACAGACCTCCTATCGCTGTCTGCGAGAGCGCCTCGACCCAGGTGTCGATGTACATGACCTCGAAGCCCAAGACTCAACCAACGCTGGCAAAGCAGTAGCCGCCCGCTCGACGTAGGCGCGCACGGCGGCTGGAAGCCTCTGCATCTCCTGTTGCACCCGCGCGCTGGCCTCGTATCTCTTGACAGACTTGGCGCTCGCCCAGCGACCCCTCCGCCACACCTCCTTCACGCTTCGGGTCTTCGCCAGGCGGTCATGGCTGGGTCCGCCGTGGCGCAGCTGGCACTGCACGTACCTCTGCCTGGCGGGGAGCCCGATGCCGACGAGGGCGAGGTTCCACAGCCTCAGCAGCTCCGCCGGCGAGATGTCGAAAAGCTTCTCGCCCTCGCGGTCCTTCGCCAGCGCGGCCAACGCTGCGCCGAGGCCTGGGAGGTACGGCGCGTCCAACAGCAAGCTCTCGTCGCTCAGGCCGACCTTCGACTCGTCGCCGCGCCCAGCCGGGTGCAGGTTGAGGGCCCACCACTGGCTAGACCCCGCAGGGGCCGCCAGATCCTCGCCCCGCAGCGCATGAAGGTCTGCTGGCCGGAGGTAGGCGGTGAACATCGTGATCCAGGCGAGGCGCGCGATCTTGCTGCCCAAGGCCTCGTACACGCACAGCGCCAGGCCGCAGACCACTTCCCAAGGCACTGGGGGGGTCGTCACGCCGGGGTCGAGATGGCGCGCCCCCCTCATGGCCCGCGCGAACCTTGGGGGCCGGAGCCGGCCCCATGGCGAGAGGTCGACAAGGTGCCACACGACCGCCGCGCACGCCTTCCAGATGTCCGCGACCTCGAACCCCTCCATGAACAAGAAGTCCGCGAAGTCCACCATGGCAGAGTCTGCATTCTGCACGGCGTCCAGCGTGTACGCCCCCATCGACTGCGCGAAATCCTGGAGATCCTTCCACCAGCTCTCGTAGAGCGCCAGCGTCCGCTCCGTGACAGCGCGCGACTCCAACATGGAAAGCTGGTCGCTGGTCTCTCTCGGTTGGAACGGGGGCAATACCCGCGCCCGCTTCTCGCGTCGCTCCTCCCGGGTCTCCCCCGAGACCAGGGGGCGGGCCGTTCCGCGGGGCAGCGTGGTAGCCCGCCTCGTGGCCACCTGGCTGGCCGGCCGCGCTGGCGGCTGCGCCCTGCGGAGGCCCCTGTGGACCGCGGGGCCCGCCCCCTGGCTGCGCTGCGTCAGCGCCAAGGCCGGGCGGCTTCGGCGGCCGGCGCCAGGCGGGGCCCTCGCGGCGCCCTCGGCAGGCCGGAGCCGGCGCTGTTCTCTCCCATCGCCGCGACGGTGCATCTGCCGCGTTCCTCTCGGACGGCGCCCGCCGGAAGTACCAGCTCGAGCCCGCGGCAATGGCGAAGGCGGAGGCTCGACGAACAAGAGTGAGGATCGCATAGCTGCGAGCCCTGGATCTCTCGAAAGCCACAGTGTTCCCCAGCTGGTCCCCCAGAAGCAAATGTCGTTTTCCAAAAGCCCCTGCATGGCGAAGCTTGCACCTCATCCCCAGCAGCGTGGCCCGGCCCTCCTTCGTCGGCATCCCCTCCTCCCGATGTAGCCTCGGCGACAAAATGACGTGCCGCTTGGATTGGTCAGTGATGCCTTCCGGTACCTCTTGGAAGTTATTGTTTCCCTCGAGCATCTCCAACTCGCCCCCGGGGCCCATGGGGATCACGGTGCCGAGGTCCCTGAAGGGGTCCCGTGGCCCCATGGCATTGCGACGAGGTTGATGGAGAGGATGCTTTCCCCGATATCTCCAACGCTCTGATATGCAACCGATCTTCGCGACCTCCTGCGCTGGAATCACGCGACTAGCAGCGCCAATCCCGCTCTCGCAGGCGTCAGTGCAAAGGACCTCAGGGTGCCATTCGCGGGACAGCTCGGCCGCGCAGAGGTAAGTGAGCACCCTCGCCCACCTCGCCTCCTTCCTGACGGAGGCCCAAGGCTCGGCCCACTGCCCGCCGACCTTCCCCACGAAGTCGTAGCAGCTCCTGAGGCACGACAAACCTCCCCGCATGATGAGGAAGTGATCCACGACATGGCCGAGCCACCGCCTGACCATGTGACCAGTCACTCGACGGCAGCCTTCTAAATGCCGGCACGCCCGCTGCAGGCGAGCCGCCCGCTCCGGCTTGTTCATGGCCAGCCAGCGGGCGCCGTCCAGCTTCCGGCCCAGGCTCTCGTGGTCGGTCGAAGCGCCGGTCTCCTCGTGAACCCTGAGGCCGACGCGGCGAAGCTGGCCCACTACCAAATTCTTGGCCTGCTGCACCTCCTCGCGACTTACGCCGTACACGTTGAGGTTGTCGCAGTACGGCAAAACGCCCACCCCGCCCAGGATGTCAGGGAGTGGCCCGGCGTCGCGGAGCTGCCCGTGGGGCCGCCCTTGGAGGGCCACTGAAATCTGGTTCTCCAAAGCCTTCTGCCCCAGGAAGAACGCCCAGGACCATCCCATTGGGACGGTGACAGCCCTCGGCTACACTTCCCGAAGGCCGGAGCGGCGCGCCATTGACAGCAGCTCCTCGGCCCCGGGCCAATCTACGAAGCCCCTCTCAAACTCCTCCAAGGTTAGGGAGGGGTAGCAGAAGTAATCCTTGAGCTCGGCGGAGTTCTCGAGGCCGTGGAAATAATCCTTGACGTCGGCCCCGGCGAAGTATAGGTCATGGTCGCCAGCGGGCCGCTCGACGCGGGCCCAGGCCGCGCCCGTCCCCATATCGAGGCTGGGCGCTGGGCGGAAGTGCAAGTTCGACCACCTGCAATCCAGGATGAGCCGAAGATTATTGTTCTTCTTCTCGACGAAGAACGGTGTGCATATCTCCTTTGGGGTGACAGAGAAATCCACCAGCCCAGCACCCAGGACGTCTGCGATGAAGCCAACGTAAGCTGACCGATCTTTGCGCAGCACCTCGTTCATGTAGAGCTGTTGAGGCGTACCTGACTCCATCTGCCATCCAACGTCATCTGGGTCTGACAGCATGAATTCATCCGACCGCTCCAACAAAGTCCTCTCCGGCCTCCCGCACGCGGCACTGAGCGGCACTGGGGACGCACCAGCTACGGGTATGCATACCAGAGAGCGTTGGTAAGGTCTGACGGCAGTGGCTTGATCGACTCCCGCGTAGTCGATCGCAGTGGGCATGAGCTCATTGAAGGCCCCGTGCCTGGTGTGCAAGGATTCGTTGTATGGCAGCTGCCCCGCCCTCCGGAGGACGGAGCTCTGAGACGTAAGCTGGGCGAGACTCGGACTGGCCGTGGCCGAAGCCCCAGGAGCCGCGCCGGCCATCTCATTCAAAACTTCGAGGACTTCATTTGCCCTCTCCTGGGCTCCCGCACGTCGCAGTAGTCGCCGACGAAGGTAAACAGGCGTGCCCGGGCGGATAGCTGGCTCCGCTGGCACAGGTGGAAGGGGAAAAAGTTCCCGAGGCCGATGTCGTCGCCCATCGTGACGAGCCCCCACATGACTCGGGAATGAATTCTGATGCAGCGCCTGCTTGTCGGGACGGGTCGGCGCTCTCCCGCCCCCGAGGCCAGCCATAGACTTAGCCATTTCCGTTGTCGTCGTTCTTCTTCCTGTTTGGGTTCTGCTTGCGCAGGCGCTGCTCCTCCTTGGCCTTCCTCATCTCCTTGGCCACGGCTGCCTCCCCGCGAACCTGCTCGGCCACGTGGCTCCGCAGACCTGGGTCCGGGGCGGCCCCGGACCGCCTGGTCGACCAGCCCATGTAGTGGTCCGCCGCGCTGTAATCAGCGATGCCGCCAGAGGCGTGCGCGTCCTCGATCAGCTCGAGACGCCGGCTGATCAGCTCCGCCGACTTCAACGCCGGCGCGTTCAACTGGTCGACCGTGCACATCGCCTCCATGATGTGGGAGAGCGCCTCGTGCTCGTACGGGCTGCGGTCCCCGTCCGGAATCCGAGCCGCGTGCCGCCAGTGCTCGCTCTGCGTGATCGGCGTCTGGCTGGACACGGCGAGCTGCTGCAAACGGTTGAAGCACATCCTCGGCCCGGTCAAATCGAGCCCCCCCTCCGGCTCCTCTCCCGCCATCTTCTGGACGGACTCGGCGAAGGGGCGGCGACGTTGACCAGCGCCGTCGAACTTCACTGGCAGTACGCGGAGGTCCTCCATGACATACTGCTCCAGATTGCGCCGCTCGACCATCTGCATGAAGGCGGTCCCCTCCTGGAGCTGCACGAGCCCGTGGTCTCCCATCGTCACCGCGTCGGCTGGCAGCGCCCCGACTGCATCGCCTCGCCGATGGCCCTCGCAATCCTCGGCGTACACCCAGAGGCGGCCTGGCGGCGCTGCCGCCGCCGCCGCTCCCGCGGGGACGGCTCGGGGAGCCGCCGCCAACTCCGCACCTGGAGCTGGCCTCTGCCTCTGCTGCAAAGCCGGCGGCGGCGCGATGTTACCGAGCATCAGCGCCGCGTCCCTGTAGTACTGCCGCAGCACCTGTGCCGATGGCACCTGCCAGAACCGATACACGTGGCGAGCATCGACTCCTGGCGGGGTCGCCCCCTGCATGCCGATCCATCTCACCTCGAGCACGTCGTCGCCGATCTCGATGCTCTGGGGGTAGTAGTCCCCGTCTGGCGTCGCCATCGTGATCGTCGTCGGCGTCGCAACCGAGACTCCTGTCACCAAAGCCTCATGATAAAGGGGCTGCCCAGGCTCGTTGTGGAGCAGCAAGATGTAGTCTCCGGGCGCCGCCATCACTCCGGCGAGTGGGTCGATGCGGGACCCGCGTCGGGCGCCGACCTGAACTGGAGCGCGGCCCGCTGCCGGGCCCTCTCGGCCTGCTCACGGGCCCTGGCGACCACCTCGGCCTGCTCGCGCGCGCCGGCCACCGCCTCGGCGCGCCCCCGCCCGCGGCGACGGCACCCGTCCCGCAGGCACTCGTTGAAGCGGACGGCAAGGTGGAGGACCACCGTGCCGAGAGGGCCCGAAGGCCCACGCAGGGGGCGCCTCTGGGCACCCCGGGCAAGGCGGGCACGGCGGGGGCTTCTCGCACCCCGGGCACGCCGCACAGGGCGGCGCTGGCCCGCACGCCGGACAGACCGGGCACGAGCAAGGGGCCGGCTCGCACGCAGGGCAAGCCGGGCAGGTGATATTGCACGCAGGGCAGTTCAGCCCGCCCGCGGCCCACGCAGCAGCCGCTGATCCCGCGCCGGGCAACGCCTGCTCGAGGAAGTGCCAGCCCAGGGCCGCCCAGCCGGGCGCAGCCACCAGCGCCAGCTGCCGGTGGTGCCCAGGAGCGGCCATGCACGGACCCCAACTCTCCCCAGAAAAGTTCGAGCCCTAACGAGTACGGAGGAGGAAAGCGTACAGACTGCAGAAACAAGTGATGCAAGCTACTTCTAAGCTGTTACATTGAAATGCCATTGCGTTCATTAGAGTGGTGCGAGAGGACGCGCAAACAGCGCTGGAAAAACAGGCGGGGGGGAAATTCTGTACAAAACGATTGTTTTGTACAGAATTTCCCCCCTTGAGCTTTTTCCCAAGAAAACCGCTCTGTAAACAGATGTCATACTCACAGCTCAGAGGGCCCTTGGATCATCCTGCAGGTGGCGTTCTTTGCAGTACCGCGTGGCGTCTTTTCACGTCAGCATAAGTGTGCACGCACAAGAAATAGGCTTGTGTCCACCAAATGCATTGCCTTTGCTTACCCCGCAGCTGATGCATGCTGTGCAATCTACTCGGCTCCACCATGTCTCCCCTGCGAGCGTGCTTGCACCACCTGCATAGCCATGGTTTGGCCCATGCGCGCCGAGCAGCTGCTCCAGAACCAAATGCTGGTGTGCCGCCATCGGCCATGGGCTCGCGTGGCACACGCACAGGAGGGGTTGACGACTGGATGCGGAAGGAAGTGGAAAAGTGCAGGGCCGACTGCACGCGAACTAACAGAGACTGGCCGCGGACTAGCGGTATCCACTTGTTTTACAGGGAAGCTCAGCACCTTGAGCCAAAATGGCTACGGAGATCACCCACGGGAGACCATGAGGGAGGGCACACGGGAGACCATAAACAAAATAATAAACGCATGGGAGACCAAAACGGGAGAACATGCAAGAGACCGTGCGGGAGACCATACAAGAGACCTTGCGGGAGACCATACCAGAGAACATGCGGGAGACCATCCCAGGTGGGAGGCCATACGGGAGACTATACGGTAAACCATGCGGGGGGCCGTGCGGAAGACCGTGCGCGAGGCCATACCGGAGACCGCACGGGAGGCCACGAACCACCGATTCTGGATCTGGATTCGTTCGCACCCGGCCTCATACAAATGACGTAGCACCTCGTCGGGGGGGCGGCGGGGTCGTCGGCGATCTGCGAGCCCGCCGCAGGCTCCGACTCTTTCGGAGCAATGTGGTGGGTCGCGGGTGGTCGCCATGGGGGGGCGCGGGTGGGTCGCGGGGCGGGTCGAGGGTGGGACGACGTCAACAAACAAGCAAACAAGCAGAATCCGCGCCGCGGAACTCCACTTCAACCACGCACCCAGGGACAGTGAGTGACCGATCGGCCCCCTCACTCTGACGTGCAGGACCCTTGAAAGCGAGTCGGTTAGGGAATTTTGCAACGGATTGGCTTAAGCCAGCATGGCCTAAGCATGTGCCACACATCCATCATGAATATGCGGGGATCGCGTTTGGGGCGCGTTCGGGTCCTCACCCCAAGGGCCTCAACCTGATCTCAACATGGGCCATGACCTATCAGGGCAGAAATCCATCAGGACTGCGCGGGAATCGCGACGTCTGGGGGGTGCTGATGCCTTGGTCCTGAGGGCGTCAATATGGCCTCACCATGGGCCAGGAATCCCTCTGCGTCTGGGGCATCTCGAGGCCCTCGCGAAGATCCCAAGAAAACCTTGACATGTGCTGTCAATTTGTCAGGGCTACACGGGAATCGCGTCTGGGGGATGCTGACGCCCTCGCATTCAGGGCCTCGCCATGGCCACGCCATGTGCCGCACAACTGCCAGGAATATGAAACAAATCGCGCCTGGGGGCTGCGAGGGCCTTCGCCACACGGGCATCTGTATTGGCCAGACGTCCTTTACTGCTACGTCCTGCTTGGTGAATGTTGAGGCCCTCGCCATGAGGCGTCGCGAGTGCCACATATCCTTCAGGGCTACGTGATAATCGCGTCTGGGGGATGTTCAGGCCCTGGCCACGAGGGCCACAGCATGGCATCAAGTGCGCCACAAAAGCTTCAAGAACACGATAGAATCGCGCCTGGCCGACCTGGACATCTTCGCGTCGTGAACACAAGTATCACGACGGCTTCTGGGGGCTCTTGCCCGACACAAGGAAAACCAGACACCGACTCAGGATGAAAAAGCGGTCCAGACCTCTGGGGTGCCACGCTGCGGGCAAATTCGCCAACTAACCTCTTGCAAGATGCTCGGCGTGTGAGATTGCTCCCCATCCCCAGACCCCGCCCACGGGAAACTGGTCCGGACGGTTTGGAAGGGGGGGGTCCCGCCGGATCTGCTGTAGGGTCAACCGCTCCAGAAATGATCTGGACGGCCTCGAAACGATCCCAGGGCGTTCCAAGACGGCGGAAGATGGCCTCCACGTGGCACCAGATGGCCCCACGACGCTCCAATATTGCCTCAAGAGCCCAACAGGTCCCCAAAATGTCCACTGAGGGCTCCAAGACGACTCCCAAGAGGGTCCCCAAAAGTAACAATCCGCCCAACCCCTGGGGAAACCGCATATTGTGGCATATTCGCTGTTCTCGTGTTCGCAATGTCAACCACTGCCCAAGAGGCCTTCAAGATCGCTTCCAAACGGCCCAAGAAATTTCTAAAAGGGCCATAAACGGCCAACACAACCTTCAAGAGGGCCCAAGGACGGGCCAAGGTGGGCCCAAAGGGAACCCGAAATCCTTCAGACGGCCATACAGAATGCCCCCCAAACGTATTCCGAAGGCGCCGGATGGCCCAAGAGCGTTCGAAGGCGGCTCCAGTCGCTCCAAGAGGCCCCAACATGCCCTCATGAGGCTCCAACACCGCCCCGAAAAGCTCCCAAGAGGCCTCTAAAAACTTCGCGCCAACGCGTCCAGATTCGCATACTCTTCGCGCTTCGGAGTTCCACCTGCTTCCCTTGCGGTGACGACGCGACGGTCAGATTCCTCACAACTTCCGGCGTTTGCCGCCGTCCGTGTACGTGCTTGCCTCCGCGGGGCGCGTCGCCGTTTATCTTAGAAGCGCCCGTCCCGCCTTATAGCGCTTCGCTCACACCACCAGGTGGCCTAAATCGCCCGACGACGGTTCCAGACGCATCGAGGAACCCCCCAACAGGCATCCACGAACCCCCAACAGGCCCTCCCGAAATTCCCCCATGAACTCTTCAGGGCTTCGACTTCTCTGGATTCCTCTGGCTTCCTCCAAATTCCTGCGAATTCCTTCTTAGATGTCACCGGATTCTTTCCAGATTCCTGCGAAGTCCTCCAGATACCGTCAGATTCCTCAGGATTGCTGTCGATTCATCAGGATTCCTTTCGATTCCTTTGGGTTCCTCCAGATGCCGCTATATTCCTCCAAGTTCCCATAGATTTTTCGGATTCCTAAGTTTGAAAGGGGCTTGGGGGCCCAACCATAAACTTCGCCTAAGGCGAAGCCCATCTCCAACTCTGCTATGACGTAGTGGCGATAGTCCGAAAAGTAGGAGATCGTCGCGCGAGCGACGATCTCAGTGGCCAGTCGTGTGCCTCGCGATGAGGCGCAGTCATATGTTGGCGGCAGGCCGCTTGAGCACAAACGGCCGCGGACAAACGCTCGCTATCTCTCGCCTTTTGTCCCAGATCTCTCTGGGGAAGGAAGAAGCGAAGCATGCGCCCGCCGCCAGCTGTACAGCAAAACGCTATGTAACAACAGGTAGGCAGCAGCAGGCGGGCTCAACAAGGAAGGTTGGCCCGCAAACAAGCTCCCTTGCAAGCACGTTGATTTGCAAGCTACCTTGCAGATGCCTGCTCCTCAGGCGACTCCGACGGTCTTGTCTGGCCAGCCCCGTATGGAGTGTGTCTTTTTGAGTCACGCTTGAAGGGTTACGCCCCTCCCGTGACCTGTAGGTGCATGTATCTGTCGATGCTCGATTTGGTGTGGCCGTCCGCGGTCATGTCGCGAGTGTCACACCACTGCGCACAATGCGCGACACCTCGCTCCATCACCTGTCGCATCCAAATGATGAGTCCCAAAGGTGTGCGCTCAATCGAATTTAGCAGGTCTTTGCTTGACAAAGACTTGAAGACAGATTCTGCATCGATGGCCAAAGTGACCTTAATGCTCAGGCCGCCCATCTCGAGTACATCCTTCAGTTGAGTGGGTGTCAGCGGCCCTGCGTAAAGTTCGTGCAGGGTGACAGTCGTGGGATAGCAGTCCTCCAAGTTGTGGGCTGCTGCAAGTGTTTCCGCTGAGTAGTTCGAGCGGACATGCAAGCGATGAGACTCGCAGTGCGCGTCGATCGTGTGGACGACGCGCTTGCCAGTATGCGTGTCCG